AGTACGAGTGGAGTAGAGTGGAGTACGAGTGGAGTATCGGTGGAGTACGAGTGGAGTATCGTTGGAGTATGCACTCCTGGAGTACCGCCTTTTCCCCCTTGATTGAACCTCTAAAAAAAAACGTTATCAATAAGAATGTGTCTATAGTTATAGCTTTGAACTACTAATATTCTTTTGTTACTCATCGTTTTGTTTCATGAATCGGGTTAGGATTATCATTGATACGAAATTGTGGTGGTACAAAATCTTGAACCATCTTCCAAATAATAGCTAAAACAATAATAAACATTTGAAGTAGATATATAAATGAACTAATCGTTTTCGACATTGGATCCTTCTTGAATTTTACAAAGAAAAATTCGAATTAAAAATTTGAAATTTTTTTTTGAGAAAAATTATCCATACAACTTCTTCGTAATGAACAATATAAGAATTATTTCAGAAGTTCTGATTCAGAACTTCTGAAGTAATCTTAAGATAAATCGTTCTCGCATTCAACCAAAAGAAAACTCTTCCAAAAACTTTAGTATATTAGTGCACTTCTTCACTATTAAATGATCATAAAATTTCAAGCTTATAGTTTTCTCAGTGGATGAGAAAATGTCGCAGCAAGATTTTGTAGTATTTCTTCAATTTTTCTGATGATTTTGATTATATTTTTACATAATAATCTAACTTTTTGAAATTAAAAAAGTATAGATGTATTTTAACTTAATTACTATTCCAATCGAGTAGTTACTAATCTATATCATGCTGATATTTTCTCTATCAACAATAAGTTTATTCTATAATATTTTAATATTATCTTTCAATTATTCAATACCAGTGTATTCCTGTCCTCATTATCTTGCTTTTGATATATCCTAAACATTTCCCATTATTGATTGAACCTCAACTAGTTTGGTAGCAGAATTCATTGGTTCAATGCGATTAATGAAAATATGTTTAATGGAATTTTTCGAAAAATTGCATCCTTTATTGATGATCATGCTGATCTTTAAAAAGATACATTTTAGCAATTATCTAATTCTTAAGCTGCTGTTGCTACTATGATAGTTCGAATAAATTCTACATATTTGTTCCTCGTGTAAAACACATTTCCTAACAACAAACACTACTTTGTTGTCTGGTATGCTCTAATTACTTATTCATAAGATTCGAATCTTTCAAAGAGTTTGTTTTTGTTGAATGCGAGACAATATTCTATCCGAGACGAAAGCAGCAGACTTCACGATCAAAATCACTGTTATTCCCATCTCAACTGTGTTCTTTCTTTGTTGTTCAAATACATTTTATCAGAACAAAAAAAAAAGAATAATAATATTTGAGTGAAATGATTTGTAACAATCAATTCTCTATTGAAATAACTTACATTTCCATTTTGCTACACTATATTCTGCGTCTTGATGCTCGTCAACTACAGGATTTGCTGTGGGTTAGTCTTCTAGTCTATGATATGTTTTCAGAAATGGATGAGCTAAAGTACAAATTCGATGTACAAACAAAAAAACTACTATGCAGTTATGTTATGATAACTTACTCAGTGCTTCCTGTGCAGTTGGACGTCGACGAGGATCAAAAGATAGAAGACGATCAAGTAAATCAACATCTTTAATCAAAAAGAAAATAGATGAAATTAAATATTGTTTCATTTTTCTACCTTTTGGTAAAACACCCGATATTCGTTCATTTGTTGCTGAATCATATTGAAAACCAAATAATCGATTGAAATCTTGCTTTGGTTTTGGTTTCAGTCGACTGATATACTCCCGGGCCTCTAAAATTTGCTAGTACATAATATCACTTATATTAAGCTATAAGAGTAAATTTTAAGAGATATCAATTGATGATAAATGAAAAAGATCTTTTTGATATTCAACATGAATGAAAAACTGTATTTTTCAAACTTAATTATCAACACTTTATATGTGCGATGAGTTCCTTATGACATTGTTTTGATAAAAACCTTCCGTAGCTAATTCATGTAATGTTGTGATATCTGGTGTACCGATTATATCAAATATTTTATCTAACTGATCAAGATGACCTTCTCCAGGAAAAATTGGTTTAAGTAGTATTAACTCTGCCATTATACAATAATAAAGGAACTTTTTAAAATATTTTGTAAAATAAAAACAAAATTTCTAATATATCGAGTAACAACATAACCAGTTTGAATACCATCTGATGCAATACAGGCTAGACCAAAATCAAGAATCTGTAAAACAATAACAGAAGGTACCATGAGTAGTGATCTATTTTAAAATTAGAAGATGTTCAAATTCCATTTGATTAAGACATATTTTACGAAGCTTATCGATAAATGAGGTTACATGTCGAACAGCTACAATCGAAGTCGACAATAAACGTCAACTTTGACAAAATGAAGTTAATCATTGAGAAAACTGTATCAATGTATAAGAATATTTTTTAAGAAGCACACTATTCGTACATCATTGGATTATTGCTCTGATTCATAATCTAACCTTAATAATGTTCAAAATTCTTCTATGAATAAGAAGCACGATCATCGTACCGTTGTATATGTAAAGAAAAATATGTATTAGATCGGATTCTGCTCAATCGATTTTGATACTTTTTTTTTCTTTACTGGTTTGAAAATGGTCATGCACATTTCAAAAAGCAAGTTTTTATTTCCTTTAGTGTTCAAGAAACTATAGCGACAGGTCAAATACATAACTTCTAAGGTCACTTGTCAGAAGTGAACTAATACGTTTTTTTTTATTCCATTTCGAATTTTTTAGTTATTTTTTCAGTTATAGTTTTTGTGAATAAAATCTACTGACTGACATTATAATTATCGTCATTTCGTGTGAGACGATTGTATTGGAATAATTTTGATAAGATATGAAAGACAAATCGAGAAAACATAAACTCAAAAGTATAAAAGGTTGGTACTAAAAAATTTCTTAAACAAGCAATTTCATGCAAAATTAAAATGATATTCTTGCTGCATATATACAGAGAGTTATTAATTAGAGTTATTTCTATAAACAAATGAAAACTGAACCGTTTTCCACAAAAATGTCGTTCTTTTTGCAGTACATATAAAAGAGTAACACTCCAAAAACAAAAGTCCAAATATGACACCATTTGTAAGAAAGTCTAATGTTACTAATAAAGTTTAGAGTGATATTTGTTGAAGTATTCATATGCTGAGACTATTTGATATATGAAGATAGCAAAGAGATATCGACTTCAATACAAGAAAGTCTGTGTACGCTAGATAAAAGCATTGAATAACTGTTCCTTGACTAAACGAATGTTTCTTTTTTTCAATAGATATTTCAAATCATAATCAGAAATCGATCAAAAACGAAAAGAAAGCGGTACTAAACATTTGTGTACTGTGAACTAGATTTTCTCTTGTTATCGTCCGTTAAAACGCCTTTTTCCTTATGAGGGATAATCGTCTTTCAATTTATTCAAATAATAAGTTAATCAATGGAAATTGAATGGAAAGACCAATGCTCATTCTCTAAAATGTCTTAGACGACAATCAAATAAAATGAGTTTTGATATTTGTAAAACACAAACTAAAAGAGAGACACACACAATACTAATTTCACTTCATTAATGGTAATAAGTTAAAATAGATAAGAAAATTGCTGATAAGTGAAACTTTAATTAACTTTAATACTTAAACCGTGACATCAGTACAATACTTATTGCAACATTTGAATCTTGATCTATTCCAATATTTTCTGGTTTCAGATCCTATTTTAACAAAATAATCAACAATATTGAACATGAAAAAATATTTTTGTTTCACCTACACGCTGGATAATACCAGCTGAATGAATATACTAGACAAAAAAGAAAGAAAATAATGTTATATTAACCAGAGGTTGTGACTGAATTCATTATACCTTCAAAGCACGAAGTAGTGAACAGATTATTTGTTTGATATGATCTTCTGAGAATGGTTTGTCACGCTTAATAACTTGACGTAAGTTATAATCAACAAAATTAAAGACAAAATATCTGTAAAAAAGAAAAGAGAAAACATCAACATCTTCATTAAAAAAAAAAGGTATTTTTACAACATACAATGTTGAAAAATCATCCACATTTTTTTCTGGTGTAAATACATTATACAATTGTATAATCTATAATAGAGAAAAATACAAATCAAGTTATACTAATACAATGAGAACTTTTTCACATACATCTATATCCGGATGATATAGATACATGAGTAGTTTTAATTCTCGATAGGTTTGTTTTGCACGATCTGGATTATGAAAGGGTCGAAATAGTTTTATAATAGCTACGGATTGACCTGTTTCCTAAATTATAATATAGTTCATATTTATTCTTCCATGTTCAAAATAAAATGTACTGTATCTTTGGCACGACTAAAGAATAATTCAATAATTAGAAAAATAAAATAAAATCAATTATGAAACTTACATCACAGCACTAAAAGTACCTTTTCCAATAGGGCATATTTCTTGATATCTGTTAGGTAATGTATACGTGCATGTGCCACAAGTAACAGTACACCATTTAATTTGAACTCCGCTTTGAGCAGCCATAGCTAATTATACCAAACCAAAGAAAATGAAATCTATGTAGGATTCTGCAGAGACAAGAATATTTAAACGAGAAAAGGTATGCTTTTCTTTCAACAGAATATGTTTAAAAAAACACATAGAACGAAAAAATCGTTACGACAATAGTCGATTATATAGAAAGAAAAAATTCAACCAAAAACTATTGCTTTCTTTAAAGTATGCGTATTTATTTAGTTTCAAAATGTGGTGTAAAATTCCAAACGAAAGTAGAAAAACGATAGATAAGGATCATTTGGTGATTACAGGACTCACACGGTGCAATAACATATATAACATGTGAGAAATATTCTAGTACTTATTATTACGTAGAATAATTAAATTTTTATTTGTGTAAGTCTTACATGAAATCATTCACATGTCATGATTACAATATTCTAAAAAAAAAGCATGTTTCTGTATTGGTCATGATTCTCAGTGGGTAACAAAGCATGACATTTGATATAAAATAATTGAAATTTATTGAAAAAAAAATACAATGAAGTGTTGAATATTTTTTACAGAAAAGAGTGAGACTGTTGCTCTGATAAATGTAACTTATAAAGTTAGAAGATGCAGACAAGTATATTGTTTTGAATGATTACTTATGTGTTCTTTTGTTTCGATGAAACTGATAGTAAATGGTGATTACGAAAAATCGTCGATTTAGACGATTTACTCTTCTTATATCAGTTTTTGGTTGTTTTTCGATTTCTTTGATTTTCTCTCTCGTCAAAACATCGATTTTCATTACCGAAAAAACTCAATTTCTATAAGTTTGTTTACAACATGTGTTGGTTAATGATGATGCGATCATTTCTTATTGTTGTTTCTTGCGACCAATCAATGGTTTTGTGACACCATCTATGGTAATCAATCAAGCTCGTAAAGTATTTGCGTCCTTTTCTACAGTCAAGAGATAGCGAAGAGGTTTAGTTTCTTATTCGTCAAAGCGATTATAACCTTGTATCTATTACATTGAGTGTTGATGGTGCAAAAGAAGACAGAAAATCAAATAGTAGTTTTGAAATCGTTACTGTACCTTGTTATTACTGCAACCACTAATAAAATACTGACAATTTTAAGATTGGAGAGATAATTTAGTAATGGTGTATGTACAGCTGTTTTATTAAGGAGCCTCCACATTCTGCTTATGCATGTTTCATTTTGTGAGTTGTGGTCATTCGACATACCCGACTTCGATGACATTCATTTCCTTTATTTTACTTTTAACTACGCAAAGTATTTCATGCAATTGCGTGTTACTCTTATTCAACATAAGGAATGGTGTCAACTCGCTTTGCTTCATACAGATTACATTTGATACTAGAGACGTGTGATAGTTTGGATAATCAGAGAAACTGACAAGCGCGAACTAAAGTGCTTTTGTAAAATTCAAATGTCATGATTTGTTGTGAAATACGTTATGTTTACATTTGAGTGACGTAGATGTATAAGGTACTTGACCTTTCTATCAATCATGTGACCGCCTCGTCAAATTTAATCGAGCAAAATTAAAACCACTTGTTCCGTTTTCTTCGGATTCAATCGTGTATAATGTAAATACGGTCGCCTTAAAAAACTCTGTCACATTTGGTCACTTTTCTTATCTCTCCCTTTTAAATTGTTACGAAAAGATGACATTTATAAGTTGACAGAAATACTCTATTCAATAATTAGAGCAGTTGTATTCATCTGTCTATCGATAGAGAGGGTGTGGACATTGGTGTGGGTGAATGTGGGCGTTGGTGAAGAGGATACCCACACCCCATACGCGCACTCTCACCCACACATCCCATCCGCACCTGCACACTCACAAACCACACTCACATTCACACCCACATCCCAGCTGATTCTGAATATCACGTTAGTTTTTCTTTAAAGTGTAGTATGAATGTCTAAAATTGAATTTCCAACGGCAGACGTCGGGTTTTTGAGATCCTCTAGAATAGCCTAGGAGAGTGTGGATGTGGCAGTGGCTGTGTGTGCAAGGTGTGGCTATCTTGAGGGTGTGGGTGCGGGAGTGTTTGTGAAAAACAACTCACACCCACACGCAATGGATCGATTTGCGGCCTTATGCGCCTCCGTCCTTTGTCTGAGGAGTCCTTTAATCAAGGTCGAAACGATTGTCGTAAATAGCTTGAAATTATCTTATAAACTCACCATCTATGAGAATTACTACGACAACTGAAAATAATCAAATTTATTCATTGTGTCTCTTTGAATTTTATTCTTTATGTTGAAGTTCTTCGACTTCCATAAAGGAAATAGAATTTCGAATTAATAGGTGTCTTTGATTAATTATTATTTTTATATATAATTGTTACGGGCTACCTCACAGATATTATATTTGTTTGCACTTTATCGTTATTTTCTTTTTCTTTTTCTCTTTCTCTCTCTCTTTCACTTTTGTGATATATAGATTGTTTTCCCTGGATGGTCGGTTGTTATGATCGTGATATATGTATATATGTGCACGATACAGGTTATATCGATACACTTACTTTTTTTGAAATAAAAGATTTTACATCAAGAATAAACACAGTAATTCTCTTTTGAAATAAACCCCTAATAATAATGAATATGAATTTTGTATTATTGCAAGTAGTCAAGTTGATTTAAGTGCACAGTCAAAAACAAATTGACATATTGTTATTCGAGGGTGTGGATGTTGATTTAATGAGAAGAGCTAAATCTACACCCACATTTTGTCTTTCTTACACTTTATAAGTTTTATATTTCACATTCAAGATATGATTGTCAAAGTGCTCTTGTAGAAATCTAGAAATGATAGCTATTTGTCAGTTTTAGTCATTGGTAAGTTCGAAAAAAAAAGACGATGCATTACTAAAGATATGAAATTTTAAACTTCACAATCGTTTGTTTGCTGAAATGAATATTGTCCGTTATTCCAATGCGCACGCTTCAAAATGAGAATAATTCTCTACTACTATGGAAAGAAGAAGTTGTTCTTCGAAAGTATTGATAATAATCAAAATAAAGAAACAGTCAAATCCTATAATTATGAAATCATTGTGTGGCTGTCGGTAACCAAGAAGACATGAACTTCTTAATTTATATTCAATCTACAAAACTCATTCTATTTCTAGTAAATATTGCCTTCATAGACACTCGAACAGTGTCTTATTGGTACTCCGTCTTTACTGCTTTAGACTGCTTTTAATAGACAACAATAATACAGCATCGGATCAATTAGAAAATAAAATCATGTAACTACAATTAATACGTATGTATAAAATAACTATAAAACTATCTAAATTAAGACGAAATAGAATTTATAACAATTAGTAGATGATACAATAGTTTCTATTTAATGAACTCGATAGTTCAAATAAATAACATTGAATATGATTGTTTATTATATTGTATTTTCCAAGTGCAGCGAGATTTCTTTCATGTAAAACAAACCCATGTGATATTTGTTTATAATGATTATTAGGCAAGGTGATTTCTTCTTGTTTTTACTCTAATGCTGTTCGACAAAAACATAGAATGTCATTATAATACGAAAAATTGAAAATTTTTATTTCTGTTGTCTTGCAAAAATTACATAATATATACGTGTACTCGTATACATCGATTATTCTTGCACATTCATACATATTCTTCATATTGAGAACGCAATCATGGCAATCAATAAAGACCATGTTCCAAAAGTCAAATTAATTTTAATTGGTGATGGTGATGTTGGTATGTTTGATCGTTCTTTGTATTTTATCTAATATACAATATTGAACGCTTTTAGGTAAAATAACATTTGTTAAATGACATATAACAGGTGAATTGAAAATGAAATATGCAAGCAGACTTCCTGTTAGTGTGCATCCATTAAACCTCTATACAAATTTGGGTGAAATAATTTTTAACGTTTGGAATACAGCAGGTCAATAAAATTAGGTCGTAAGTTAGTAAAATAGTGACTATCATTGATTATTTCTATTGTTTCTTCAACACTAGGTGTATGTGATAGTTATTATATCGGTGAACAATGTGCTATTATAATGTTTGATGTAACATCACGTATCACTTATCGAAATGTTCCCCAATGACATAAAGATATAATTCGTATTTGTGGAAATATTCCAATTGTTCTATGTGGGAATAAGATCGATGTAAAAGATCGAAAATTAAAAGCTAAATCAATAACATATCATCGAAAAAATAATATGAAATATTATGATATTAGTGCTCTATCAAATTATAATCTTGAAAAACCATTTCTTTGATTAGCACAAAAACTAACTGGAAATGATGACCTTCAACTTGTTTCTCAAATTTCATTAATGGTATGTATTGATATAAATTAAAATTCTGTTGTTTTTTTATCGCATCGATTTATTTAATTTTTAGCCACCTGAAATACATTTGGATCCGGATATGCTTCGAGAACATGAACTTCAACTAATTGAAGCAGCATCTCATCCATTACCTGATGATGATGATGATTTATAAAGAAAAATATCTACATATGTAAAAAAAAATCAAAACTTTTTCAATAATGACAATAAATTATTCGTCCTTTTTGGGTTATATATTTTTTCTTATTTGAAAAATTTTTAGTATTAGTTTATGACGTACACTTTGTATGTTTAGATCTTACTGTTTGAATCGAGGTTTTTGCAGGTCTCGATTCGAGGAAAGCTAAACTTCTAGATCTGGTTGCGAGTTTTTTTTTGCAGCAATATCTAGTATCCTTTGTGTGGCTGTGAGTTTTATTGAAGAAAAGACTCATACCAACCCCAAAATAATAAGAATATTTTTTGTATCATAATTTAATTGTAATTTTAAATAAGCATTCTGATGAGTTTAATTTAAGAATTAATTTATTTTGCACAAATATATTCTAGTTTTAATCCTTTGGCTGTCGGCATAAGAGAAAGAAGAAATGATTTTTCAAAAAATTTATTGATTTTTCTATGGAATGATTGTAGAGTATGCTTTAACAAAATAGTGATTTGGGTGTG